TGCACTTCCTTTATTCCGTGAATGCACTTTGCTTCCTCCCACCTCAGGACCTTTCCATACCAGCCCTTTATCCCTGGAATGCTCTATCCTCCAACATTCCCCCAATCCTTGCACATCCTTCAGATCTCTGTCTACTTAGAGAAGTGTTCCTCAACTTTTTAGATTCGATTGGGTTTTGTCCTTTTCCTTCATTGTGGTCATACATTGCCATTACTTGCAATTGTGTATCTGTGTGATTGACTACACGCTCCATGGGGTCAGGAACCAGGCCTGGCCGTAGGCACCACTGTATTCCCAGGGTTTGGCATAGCGCTCGACACATAGTCTATGCTGAAGAAATATCTGCTGACTTAGTGATAGTTCACCCCAAAGGGGACCTGAGCACCCTCTGCTTAGGCTAGTGCTGCTGCTGCTGCTGCTGCTACAAAATAAGATCACAGGGGTCTTATTTCCTCTCGACCAGACTATTTGTGCAACGAAACAGGACGTTGGTTGTACACTTGACTGGTGTGATGCAATGCTTCTCTCAGGCTTTACAAGAATTTTTGATTGCCATCATCTGGGCTTGGATTATAGCGTCTGGGGTTACCAGACTCATAGTGAGGTGCTAAATGTAGAGAACCATGGATCAGTTTTCTCAGCACATGGGCACCTTTAAGAAGGATTTAGTGGGATAGAAGATTTGGGATGTATATGTTCTACACCGTTCGTGTTCAGAGCCACACCCTGTGTGTGTGTCCACGTTTAAGGGCAATCTGACACTCCTCTGTTTCCCACTTCAGGAGCAGTATTAAAATGAAAGTGGGTGAAAATGACATAATAGAAATAGTCTATAATGATGCTCAAAATGTTTCTTAATAAATCAAAATGCAAGTGTTATATAAATGATTTGTAACATGCTTCATGGCTGATTGTGATTCTCAGTCTCTGTTGGGGGGGGGCAGGTTGGAGGTGGAGAGGAAGCTGAAAACCACTCACCGAGGGGACTCTGAGGGCCAGCCAAGACCCTCAGGCTGTTTCCCTTGCTCCTTGCCGCCATCGAATCCCCTACTCTCAGGGGGAAATCTTCTAAAGGGCTCCTATGCTTTCTTCCTCTTTTACTTTCTGCGTCTGGAATCAGGACAAAGCAAACCAGAACCTGGCATCAATTTGCTACTCTTTTAATAACCCTGATCCATCTTGGAGCACCCACCCCATTTACTTGGTCGTTCTGACAGCTCTATTTTAAAGAACGGCATATATTTGTTCAGTTTTTGATCAAAATAAGTTCAAGTGCCTAAATGTAGAAACCATGGTGCGTTACATCTCGGTATTCAACTGCCACATTCCTCTTTCCTCCTCCCACCTCTTTCCAGCACAGTATCTTGCTCTGTAAACACCTTTGGAATTTTTACCTGTCTCACTTTTTTTTTTTTTAAACTGTCTCACCAATTTCTTTTCTCACTTCTTCTTCCCTCCAGGAAGGATACTGTTGGGGGTTGGGCCTATTGGTAGGCTGGCTTTGTGCCAACCTGGTCACTCTGTCCATACATAGGTGAAGAGCCCAAGAATTAATTCTCCCTTTGGTGTGTGTGTGTGTGTGTGTGTGTGTGTGTGTGTGTGTGTCCATGTCAGTCCCTGGCCTCTGGCCTCTTGAAAGCCCTGACCTCAGCTTTCCCCTCCTCAGAAATGCCAGAGAAAAGAGGTGAAGTTGGAGAAGGTGGCCTGTTTCTTCCCTAGTGGGCTGAGCCAGGCTTCCAATCCTCAAAGAACTGTTGCATTTCCAGAACTGGGTTTTCCTGAGCGAAGGACATAGCGACCAGAGCAGTGTACTTAGAGTCAGCAGACTTGGTTGCAAATTTGGACACCACCACTTACTAGCTGCGTGCCTTTAGGCAAGTCACTTTAGCTTTCTGAATTTATTACCTATCCACAGGGTGGCTGCCTTGAAATGAGTATGCCTAGACTTTGTTCCATTACACTCCCAAAAAAGAAAGAAAAAGAAAGAAGAAGGTAGCAGGAAGTATCTACTGACCCGTTTCCAGTGGAGATTCAGGGAAGGCCTCCCAGGACTGGCCCAGGCACCCACCCAGGAGCCCGCATAGCCTCTCTGCGGCTGTTGCTTGCCTCTGCCCCCAGCCAACTCCCGGCATACCGCGGGCTTGGCGTGGCGCGCTCTTAGGGAGTTGCTGGAAAGCTCCGAATAATTCCAGAGGGTCAGTCACTCCCATTGACTATAACTTGCTTTTCAGACGAACCAGGCAAGCCCGCCTCTCCTCCTTGGGACTCCCTCCCCTCCCCCGTGTGACCCCCCACTCAGCCTCCTCCTTCCGGATGGGTAGCCGCCCCAAACCGCACGGCTCCCCCTGGCCAGAGCCGCCCCCAGCCTGCGTCCGGCCCTGTGCGCCTAGCTCAC